ACCTTAAAGCATTTATAAGGTGGCTCTTAAAAGGAAACAAGCACTTGCAGTATTTTACAGATGACGAAGGCAACAAATAGGACAAATTATAATTAAAAGAAGGTTAAAAGTCTTTCGATCTATCTCCATCTTCAAAATGAACCCAGACAGTGTTCACATTGTGCACTTAATATTGTGTAAATCATGCTGTATTTCCTTTCTTCTGACCAACGTTACACTTGCCTTTTCTTTCTTAATTTTGGAATCCACAGAGACGAGTGTACATACTTATGGGATACAGTGCGCCACCTCAATGCAGAATGCTGGGAGGCTTTCTAGTGGTTCCACCCTTCAGATAGTGGGCCGCGGGCCTGCAGCTCTTTTCCAAAGGCAAGAGTCAAGGGCAGGATGGCACTTGCAACAATGGCCACAAAGTGAAAGGGTCCTTCTCCCATGACCTGAGAAGCAAGAGGGTCACTATCTGAGAAAGGGAGATCTGTGGTCATGACTTGACCTCTGAACTATGATTTGTTTGAACACGGACAGCAGCCCCCACATCCTACTGATGAATGCTGGGCAGAGAAAAATGACAGTGTGGTGACTCCGGGGTGAGACGCAGCGACAGTGCTGGGCTGCTGAGCCCACTCTGATGGGACTCTAACCCCCCAAATTTCACACTACGCCAATGTGGCTCTATAGAAGAGGAGGAGGCTGGCCATCTGCTCTAGGCTGGGGACAATACTGTCTCCTCATTATGGACATTTTGGTCATATGTGCTGGCTGTACGTGCCCTTCCACTACGGATCACTCTTTACCTCTTTGCAGCTTGTCATGAAAAGCACCAGGCAAACGTTGAAAATTAAAATCTGGAAACCGCACACCCTTTACTTAGTTTCCTTGCATCCGGTAGGATTCTTGACACTGGCCCACGCTCCTTTGGGTTTTTGTTGAATTCTTTCCAAACCATAACACACGATATATATTGTTATAATAGGGTAACTTTGGAGAGAAAGCAATTTAGGAGGAGGCATCTATTCCTCATTTCTCTGGCCAGTCATGAAGACACCTTTGAACTGGATAGAAAATCACTGTTATATTTATTATCACAGGAGCACAGTGAAGATGATAGAAAGGAGAGAGAGAGGCCTACTGGCAGAGGAGATTTCTAGATCAAAGCTGTGGTATTTGTTAGAAGTGCAGCCAGCGCTGCTCCTGGTCCCCTTCCCAGCACAGTGATCTTTTGCTGGGGGCTTCCAAAATTTCCACGGGCGCTTTTCCCTAAGTCTGCTCTGAATCTTTACTTTTTCTGAGTTCTGAGTCACAAAAGCTCATCTGAGAGTCTGGAGAAATCTATGAGGAGGCAACCGTGACTTCAGGAAGGCAAGCGGTGGCTCTGGCTGCTCACCTCCAGCCCCTACTTCGCATTTCCTTTGTCAGACTCGAATTGTGTCCACTGCATTCTGAGCAGGGCCTTAGGAATGTGGCTGTCCATTGCCAGAGAGGGTAACCCTTCCTCAGGCTAGGATACCAAGCAGTGAGAGGAGAGCTACCTGACACGGAAGAGTTAAATACAAGAGAAGCTACATTTTCTTATTTGTAGTTGGGAAAATCAGAGTATCTGCCCTCAGTCCCATCAGACAGCAGGCCATGTGCTTCTCGCGCTATGACAATTAGATAGCTGGAGACAGTGAGTTGAGAAGTGGAGAAACAAACAAAACTCAAATGAAACTCCCGGCAAGGTCGACCCTGAGTCTAGCTATGGGACTGGATTTTGCTGTTGTCCAGTTCAGTTTTTGACCATAATCCTGTGCAGAATTAAATCTGTGAACCAAGGAGCGGCTGTGCCTCATGTGCTTATTTTTTCACTCCCTACGGCAGTCAGGATTCCCACCGTGGTCCCTGGCATTTCTTTGCCTCTTGAGAATCTCATGGGCCCAGCCTTTTCTCTATGTCCGCTAAGTGTCGCTCATCAGTCCTTCGGGAAACACAACGAGAGCTCAGTTAGAACACGTTGCTGTACTTCAGGAACTCACGCTCAATCACTTGGCACTAAAAGAGTGAAACAAGATGACTGTGTGTGCGTGCCTGGGTGCCTGTGCACATGCGTGTGTGCAAGGACTGACACAGAAGACGTAGGCAATTTGTGTTAGCTTTTGAGGCAAAAATATATCCGTTTTGTTTTGGCCTTTCTGGGTATTTTATTGACTGGTGAATGAACAGTCAGTGTAGGAGCTTATTCCACTTAAAAATCAATGGCACTGACACGTCCCCCGGTGGTGACCCTCCTGCCACAGGTCCTGCCTGCCATCGCACCTGGGAAGAGCCTGCGGGTAGCTGTCTTCCTGCATTCAGAGGGAGCAGCCACTCCTTCCTGAGGTTTAAGAAAACACAAAACCCACAAAGAATGTTTGAAATAATTTTCTGTCCTTTGGCATGAGGGAGGCCTTTCCTCAAGGAAAATGCCTGAGGCCCAAACAAAGCCTTGTTCCCTCAACAGCTATTGTCTGTAATTGTGCAGACTGTGGGTTACAGAAGTTTACTTTCCCTACAGGGATTTCACTTTTCTAGGAAAGGTTTCTAAAGGGGTGGGCCAAGAAGACCCAGAGAAGGTAGAGAGCTCAAAGAGCTCCATTGTACCAAGGGGGAGAGTTGTTCTAAGTAAGTAGAGGCAAGTAGCTGAGAGAAAAACCAGCCAGCGTGGATGTGATTTTGTCCAGGAGTCATGTGGGAGTCCTTGAAAGGCTTTATTTATAAGGCAGTTCTCAGACCAGCCTGGAGAATGCCGTCAGGGAGCGCTGCGCAGGTGGGCTGTGACTCTAGATTGTAACTTTTCAAACAAACTCCATGCTATAATCTCAGAGAAAGTACGACTCCAGTAAGGAGTCCTGTCAGTCAGTCAAGTGACTTTACTTATTACTGCCCGATTCCAGCTCTGTTGTAGCCAAGATGAAATGATGCAGAAGAAAGAGTAGGCATTGGCCACGCAGTCTCCTGGGAGCGCGCAGACAGAATGCTTACGTGCCGCCGCCGTGTGGGGGGACAGTGGCCTCGACTACATGGATGCGCAAGGCCCTCAAGGGGAGAAACTCTTAGTAGAGAACTCAACTTACAGAATTTTTATGAAGTGAACGATGTGACTTTGAAACACAGTGTATTGTACACATATGATTCTCACCGGTATTTAGAAGCCATTCACATGAATAAAATAACAGAGTCTGTGTTCAAGAAACTCTAACTTCCTTAGAGTCAAAGACGGGCTTTCTTGGGGCCTTATGTCCAGTACCTGGAAAGCAGAAGTGGTGACAAGAACACAATGAAGGGCGGGACCCCTGCTAAAGATGCCCGAATAATTTAACTCTTGTTTCCTTTCTTTGACGCTGAAGGTTGAATTAGCCGGCTTTCCAGGTACAGAAGCTGAGCACCCCTGGAGTAATGGGACAGGCTTCCAGCTCCTGAATTCTAAGAGGGAGACGGGCAGAAGGCAGGACTATTCCTGGTGACCAGGTCTGGCGGGGCCTCTGTTAGGAAAGCAGTTGGCCTTTCCAGTAGGGCGCAGGCAGGGCCAGCCGGGATTTGCTTCAGGTGTAGCTCCTGCCCTGCCTGAGGTGCACCCTGGCTTTAGGAACCCTGTTCCCTAGGCTTCACACAAGTCCAAGCAAGCTTGAGGTGAACACTTTGCACTGACCCCTTAAACAGAATGTGAGCAATACTTATCAGAGCATTGCTTGATAAATTTTATTTGGAATTTTAAAAAATTATTATAAATGCTTCTATTTTTAAAGTTTAGCTTTCGGACGATGTGCTTGTGCCTTCAATGTTTTTCCATGGATTTTCTCCTCCTTGAGAAGGAAAGAACTCTTGTCTCATCTGGGACACTCGGTCACAAGCGGAATCATGACAGGCCCTGCCAACACCCTCTAAGAATGCTGGGTCTCCAGGTGAAGCCCAGAAGCAGGCCTGGGCGTTTCCTTGACTTTACTGGTCGG